TGTATTATAACCTGAATTGTCAGTGACCCAATGGGTCATGTGCAGTCTAGTTTACAATAAATTTATATAGAAAACTGGACCTATTAACTTTTATAAAGGTTAATAAAAATTTTTTTTAAATATTTGTGATCTGGAGTGTTTTATTCTATAGAAATATGGAAATAAAATCACCTCTTATTGAACAGGCTCTCTGAATAAAATAAGGTATCATTCACAAGAATTGTTGTTACATTAAAATTTTGAAAACCCAATCTTGTCAAAATTAACCACATAGCAAAGTGTAATAGGAAGTTCGGAGTTGAGAGATTAGGCTTTCTTTGATTGGTTGAGGTGTAATATTAATAGGCCAATCAGAAGACGGGTAGAAACAGAGTATTGCATTTCATGTCATCTCTGTCTTCAATTCTTCAGATCCCTGATGCTACATAACAAACTGAATCAATGACAGACAATTTCCTTTTCACTCATTTTATTTCATGAGGAACAGTAGTAGTAACAGCATTATTATAGAGGTAGAGAAGATAGATATCAACTAGTTGGCCAACTACTATCATCATGTGGTATCTTGTCTCACTAAGCAATCTATGTATTGCGAGATGGCTTGACCCTTTTATTCTTGCAGCTGCACTGATCATCTTTGTGCATTTTACTTTGGTCTTATATCAAAACTTAAGCAAAAACAATTCATCACTGTCAGAATTCCACACTGACTGGGTTCAAATCATCCCCACTTAGTTTGGGTCATTAGAGTTCTGATCAGTGGTTGGCCACTCTGGGTCAGCCTATGAATTCAGTCACAAGAATTGCTTTGATGATATATAAATTTGTTTAGTTATTTTTTTATAAGTAGTGAACATCAGACTGCTGAAATAATACACTCCTACAGCACTGGCTATAAGCTATGATTTTGGGTGTCACTGTACTTGAGTAAATAGAATCATCTTTAGATTTCTGAGTTGCTCAACATGTCTGGCTGAAGCAAAAGAAGAAAATGATTGGAAAATGGTGGCATTATGAATCATCATAAGGTGCTCCATGATAATGTGTAGGTTATCATCAAGCTATCTATTCTCTATATCAGTCTGTAGAGGTTATGTGAAACATATCTCTGGCCTCATCTATGAAGAGACCTATGTTGTCCTGAAACATTTCATTGAGGATTTTATCCATGATTCTCAACCTACACTGAGCAAGACAAGCAGAAAAAAATCACTGCCATGGATGTTGTCTACACCATCAAGAGACAAAACAGACCCCATTACAGTTTTGGGAGTGAAAGAATTTGAACCAACAACCTAATAAGGGTACATGTTCAGTCAGTCAGTTAGGTGCCATGCATGATACATGATTAGGCGATCATGTATCTTTTGATACAGGACTGACAAGACAGATTTTTTCCCGCAGTAGGTTGCCATTTCTTTCTGCAGTAGACCAGTTGCCATCTAAGGATATAGAACCTGGTCTGTCTTGCTATTAACCCATAGGTGGGGGAGAAGAAGAGGATTAATACCTTTCCCAAGGGTATTAGCATGTAAGTGAGTGTAATGGATTTGAATGGAATTCAAACTCGGCTCTCCATTTTCTCAATCCAAGCCATTATCCATTACTTCACAGTGCCTCATGTTACACAACCTAATAAAATGTTGTTAGATTTGGTGTCATTTAGACCAAAATGCAACCTCAAAAATTCCCACAGTGGACCTAGAGGAAAATATTATCACAGCTCTACCCAGCTTCCATTATGTAAATGATACCACACTGTGTACCTCCAAATATTTTGATGACAAGTGCCTGGCAACTGATCTCTCCTCTGACTTAACTCTTACAGATCAATGAGAAAAGGCACCAATCATGATGAGTGGTCATACCTTCAAAGTGGTGCCTGTTAGATTTAAAATACACTCCCAACCTCAACTGAAATGCTTATATTCATGCCATTGCAAAAGATGCTGGAAGAATGGTTAGTTCATTGACCTAACTCCTACTACTGTGCTCTTGTATTAACAAAAATCAGATCAGACCAAGAAAGTATTGCTGCTGTCATATCTGGGTCAGTACTGCCCAATCCTCAATAGAATTCAAAAGTGCTTATGTAGCCTTGTGGGTGATGAATTTTTCTCCAACCAGCAATCCTTATCCCACAGATGAAACATTGCTAGCCTTTCATCACTTTATTGCTATTATTACTATGGCAGATGTTTAGATGAGTTACATTTCTTCATTCCATGAGCTCAGACCATCACAGCTAAGACTTACCATGTTCATTTTGGTAAATCATCCCTATACTCTGTGTGCTTGATAAGGAGCAAGTTTCACTCAGTAGTATAGCTTAGAAAACATACTTCAAGAGTACCAATAAGGTTGCAAATTTGAATAAAGCTTCATGAAAGATTAAAGTACAAATGTTTTGAATGAAATTATATAACTAAATCACATTTAAATTATTATTTTCTAGTATTCAATATAATACAAGCACTAAACCAGCTGTTGTGGTCAGTGGTGTAGCTAGAGTAAACATCACCTGGGGCGGTCCGCTCAAATGTCACCCCAATGACCCCGATTCACCCTATGCTGAATGGTTAGCTGTAGCTAAACTTTCATACATTCTCTACCTCTACTTTACACTACTGACCGGTACGTTACTGTTTACATGTATGATCCAAGATAAAATCCAATACCACAAAATAATCAGTTCAAATCAAAAGATTTTTAAAATGCAACTGTTCACTTTCAGAACAACTAAATACAAAACACAACACGGCAATACACAAAAGAATGACATTCGATACTATGGTCTTAGAATGAATGTTTTCTTGTTTTCATTGTGGCAAACTGGTCAATGACATCGTCAAAATCTGTTTGTCTTGTAAGCTCGTTTTCAATGGACAGCACAGCCAGATGCGACAGTCTCGACTGGCTCATGGTTAAAGTAATTTTGTTGTGCTGGCACCCGGGGCGGTCCGCCCCCCCCCCAGCTATGCCACTGGTTGTGGTAATGAACATTACCAACTGAGGATGCAGAAAAACTTGTAACTTGGTTTTTCTTTACAATATACAGAAAAAGCAAGCATTCAAAGATAATTATAATATATTGAAACAAAATTTGCTGCAAACAGATATTGAAATTATGTTACTGCAGAAACACCAAATGTCATACTTTTTATAATATTATTGAAATATTAGAAGTGTCTTTGATGCTTACTCGGCTCCTTATTTCTTGTGGAATCAGGCAACTGTTTAACAAAAAGCTTTATGAAAAATTCAGAGGCAAGTTAAATCAATTTCATACAAATTTACAGAAAGGTACATTAGTTGTAGGTTTCAGCAATTGTCTTTCTCTTCTTGTTCAATACAGAACAAACAACAGGATACAAATGCTTTTACCCACTAAAAATAACATTTTTAGCAATAAGAAATAATATAGGATTAAAAAAATCTCTGTTAACTACTGTATATACATATATATATATATATTAATGCATGTTTCATTAAATAATATAGACAACATGGTAACATAACATATACTGTAAACTTTTTTAAACTCAAAAACGAAGGATTTGCAGATATATGTTTATATAGACTTTTGTCCTTGTTTTGGTGTGAAGATACTGCCCCCAAAGTTTGTGAAAGTATTTTTGATACACTCTGTATAATGGGGTTCCAATAAATCCTTGGCCTACCCATAAAAAGATCAATAAAAATTCTAAAATTTGGTCAAATTATAAAAAGTGAGTTTGATCTCCTCAAATTGTAGGCAGAACTTTTCAGCAACTCACTAATTTCTAATTGTATTAGATTCCTAAATCTTTTATCTTCAAAAGAAGTTGCTCTTCTCATAGAGTTTGATCATATTAAGCCTTAATATAATAGAGCATTATGAGGAGAGACTGGGAAGACTAACCTTAATCAAAGTTAATCTACCCAGTCTTCACAGCTCTGATGGCCATCACCACCATCATCAGTAGCAGCTGCCAAAAACCCAGCACTTTTACTAGCATTATTATTTTTTATACTAACACTGACACAGCTATATACCACCACCTCTAACCATTAATACAACTGTCATACACCATCACATCATTGTAGGTATCCAATCTAATTGTCATAACTATCACCATTACTACTACCACCACCATCATCATCATAATGTTAATACCACTGAAACTGTCAAAGGTCACTGACATCACTATTGTCATTCTCTCTGTTGTGGACCACCACCACTCTCATACATTACAGCAAAGACTATCATCTTCATAAACCATATTGCCATTGTCATCATCTACCATCATCACCTTCAACATGATTTTTACTACCATGCCACAACCATCATCATCATCACCACATTCAACATCATTTTAACAACCATGCCACAACTATCATCATCATCATCATCATCATCACTTCCTTCAGTATCATTATCTTCACTATGCTATGGCCACCATTATCATCATAGATGTTACTATAATATCATCACCATTACTAGAATTCTTTTTTTATGCAGGATGTTAACAACTACCACCAGCACTGTCATCTCTATAACTGGTGTTCACTACAACCATCAACATCATAAGCATTGCATCACCATCACTATCATCATAATTGTTTTACATGAAAAAAAAAATCACCATCCTTACCATTACCACCATCATGATCATTATCTTAGACCCATCACCATCACAACAACTGCAATTAAATGGTATATCTTTAGTCTAGTATTCCTTCACCTCTGAAAATCTCCCCACCCCTTTCATCATTGTCATCATCACAACAAATATCATCAGCCTCTTCCCACTTGTCAAAACTGATCCCTTTCTTTTCTGGACAGTATAATTACCAAGAATGAATAGGCAATGTCTAATTGAATTGGTCAAAACAAGAAGTGCTTCCCTATTCATCTGTCCATGTACACACAATCATTCTTCCTCTGTTTCTCTTGTCTATCGTGTGGTCTTTCTTGCAGAAAATTTTTTTGGATGCTGGCTAATTTCTGACAAAAAAATATGATTTGCCCCCAACCCCAACTTGACAATTTCTATTTTTTTTTTATATCCTTTGTTTTTCTTCTTGTGGTTATTTTTATTATTTTTATTTTTTTGTTTTATTTCTCTTTTCTTCCTTCTCCTTTGCTCATTCTCTTTCCAACTTTATCCCCCATTTTTTTTCGTTTTTTTTTTTTTCCTACCCACCCCGTCTGTAAGTTTTTTCTCCTCCTATCAGTTTTAGCATTTTTGCTTTCTTTATTTTTTTCTTCTCTTTTTCTTCGTCACATATCTTCTTGCTTTCCCTTCATTTATTTCTCACCTTTTTTATTTCTTCCTCTTTTGTTTCTCTCTCTTTTTTTTCTTTATCCTTTAGATTTTTCCTTCTCCTCATCTTCCTTTTTCCTTCCCCCTTTTCTTCTCTTCATCAATTTATTGCCTATTTTCTTTTTCTTCTTCTTTCTTTGCTTTACATTTACTTCTTTTTTCTCTTTCTCCTTCAATGATTTACTTCTCCTTCTTCACCTTTGTTATTTGTTTTTATCCTGTATTTGTTTGTTTATACCTTTGAGGAACTCTGCACGAGCAGGCGGAGAGGTAACGTATAAAACCAGGTGCTTGGGAAAGGGTGGATACAGGGGATATACAATTGGTCAGTTACTGGATCTGGCCACTCGATCTGTAATTTGAGGAAAATGCCAGGAAAATGGGAATTGGTCCTGACAGATGTGCTTATGATATTCCAGAGCCTCAGTCACTTTAAATAGGTAGAAAAGAACATAAGGAACTGTCAGTATATATATATATATGTGCATATGTTATGCAGATACTTTTACATGTACGATGCAGTTAACTAAAAACAAAAAAAAAAACTTGACAAGGTGTTACAATTTCAGGGAACAAAGGCTTGAAATGTCTTCCTCAAAAAAAAAAAAAAAGAATTGCTAAAACACGTAGTTCTTTATTTCATGGTAGAGTGATTTTGAGACATGGTAAAACATGGGAAATGCAAGGGAACTTGACAGATAAACAGATTGCACAGTTATTTAGGCAACACTTCATACGATAATTTTAATGCTATTAAGATTAGGAATCTTCAAATAAGAATAATCTGAAGCTAAACAATATAGACATCTTTATGGTAATGATAATATTAACTGTTTCCTTATAAGGAAACATTTGACATTCATTAACCAAGCAACCAGTGCGACTTTCAGTTTAAATTTATAATACCTTTTTATTAAAATAATTTTTCAGGAAAATAGGTTTCTCAATTCCAGTAACTCTTATTGTTTTTTCCAGTAGTGATGTGGGTTTCCTTCCTAACCTTTTGTTTGAAGTAGTGTGGAATGTCAATATCTTGATTACGTCATTATTTTCTCTTAAAGTTAAATGTTATATCCATTTTAGTTGTAACACTGTTAAAAGTTATCAAGTGATATGGTTTCTGTTAATTTCATACACGTCTTTGTGATTCTGTAATAACAGGCAATAAAGTTTGAAGAAGAGTGGTCCTTGCTAAGACCTACAGGGTTCACTTGCTCAAAGCCATTTTTAACCATCAATCTAAGAAAGACAGTTTAGATATTTCTCAATGGTTTTGGTGACAGACATGACATTTATATGAAAGTCTTGATCTGACAAGACAATTTAAGAACAGGTCTTGATTTTAGCAAATTTGAGATGTTATTGAAAATAATAAGTTTTATATATTAAAAATGTTTAATGGTGATTTAAAATTTATTTCTGAGCTGTTGTATTATTACTGTTATCTATTGACTCCTATAAGCTATTGAATTTGATGTTCTATAAGACCTCATACCTTATTTACATGTAACATTTCCATATTATGGAGTTAGGTTAGGTACAAGGACTTGAAGTCTATGGTATCTGGGTAAAGATTAGCTTACCAGATAACAAAGTCATATATAATACTTGATAGTTTGGGGGGGGGAATGTGCTGTGGAGGTTATATACCATAATATGTGGTACTATACTTGAGTTTGTTGTTCTTATCACAAGGTTTCTGGATCACCTGGTTCTAAACGTCCTTTTCCTTGAATTTCTAAGTTGTAGTGTTGTTATTGATATCCATTGTTTTTATGGACCATTTTCTTTGTCATCTTTATCACAAGGTTGCTGGATCACTTGCCTCTAAACTTCCTTTCCTCTGAATAAAATCCTTCAAAATGACCAGAATTTCAATATTTGTATCCATTAATGCAACATCTTAAACAAACAGTAGATCTGTATAGAATTGGTAATGAAATGATATAATAAGAATATAAATAATATTGTGGTGTCACAGATGCATATATAAAAGAAGTTGTGGAATAAATATCAGAAATTTTGATAAATCCCAATGTAAAAACTGAATTTTTAAAATTAAGGATAGTTTGAAAGGTGTAAAAATAGTTTGGGCACAATTCACTCTAAATATATAAATTTAAGGAAGAACTGTTTTATAATTCAACTTTTATGTTTTATGAGTTTATTGTTTATATCTTACTATAGCCCAGTAGTATGCAGAAGTGGAAGGCAGAGGTTATGATGACCCTGGGAATCCATATTAGTAGTACATGCAATCAAAGAGTGAAATAAAAATTGAGTTTTTGAAATTTGAAATTGTCTCTGTTAATTTCATTGTACAATCCCCCTACATTCTCACAAGCTGATGTGAATGTGGATCCATGTTTTGATAAGTGAGACCTGAGTAGGTCCACCTACTTGTGTCTTAGGGGCATCAAGGAGTTGGCCCCGGGCATCACCAAACCTCTGCCTGTCACTGCTGTGGCTATATTTTGTTTTGTTTTAGTCTTTTTCTGAAAGTTATATAAAGACTGTTAATGGGACCCTAGGAAAAAATTTCAGGCACTTTTAGGAATTATTGTTATATAAAATTTAACTGAATAATTATTGGCAAATAAAAGGCAGGTTTTTGAGAATTATGGGTTTCAAATCAAAAAATTTATCGAGAGAAAATACATAAAGAAATAAGATGTAAAATATCTGATAGATGAAAAACAAAATTATACATTTATCCTATAATATTTGTTACACTTTCTGCATGAAATGTGTATGTAAATGTAACAACTATTATGGGACAGAGCAGTATTAGATTATCTCTGTCCCCAAAATGTTGTTCCATTAAGTGTATGAAATGTTTATATAAATGCAGCAGCTATTATGGAACACAAGCAGTAATACATTTTTGTTTGAAGTGTTAAGTCCTTATAAATTAGTAATATTTGGGGTTTTATTTATAAAATTTATTTACTTAGTTATTTAATTGTTTTTTTTTTTTAAATGTTGCTTTGCCTGAGCAAGTAGGGAGGGCTTTCAGAACTTTCAACCTGCATCCTCCTTCTATACTATGCCTGGTATTTTCCTACATCTCTGACATAGTCTTGCCACTACTCTTAGATACACACATGCATTGATTCTTATGTCCATAAATAGTTATAGAAACTCCTGAGATGAAGAAGAGACTTGTAGCAACAAAAATGTAGCCCTACAGAAGGATTGTGAGAATACTATGAACTAAACATGTGAGCAACAACAAAGTTTTAGAGAAAATGGAAACAAAAAGGACACATACTTAACATCAGAAAGAGACAATTGAAATTTCAAGTGCACATAATGAAGAAAGGGGACTTGGAAAATTTGATACTCACAGGACAAACTGAAGGTAAGATTGACAGACAAAAGCAACACATAACTTACTTAGTGAGATTGTACAAATGGATAGCAGAACAGAGTTTAGGAGAGATAACAAAAATACAAATTTTATTAAGATTTCCAAAGGATAGGAAATTGTGGAGAGCCATGATTGCTAATGTCCTGAAAGGACATGACACAGAGAAAAAGAGCTAGCAAAGGGAGATGCAAGATCTGTAAAGACAACCTCATTTGCTGAAAGGGGCAAATAAAGAAACAGAAGAAAAGAAACAGTATTGAAAGGCCATGGATGGCACAGGCTGTCAAGCCATCCCTTACAGCCAATTTGGAAAAAACAAACTAGCCTTTCCACACAGTACACGTGGAAGATTTATACCAAGTTTTCATTCACAAAGTCAAGTAGTAACATAAAAAATGGTTCAGATCTCAGCTGATTCTTTTGTCAAGGAGATCATTTTCCTTATGCTCTTACATGAGATGGTTTTAATCAAATTTATACGGTCATAAAAATATTGTTATGAATATTTATTCAGCTTAGTTTTGTCGCATACTGTGATTCTCAAGTGGGAGACACTTGTCTCTCAGGGGAGAATATTTTAAACCTGAAAGGAAGAATTTTAGCAAAGGGAGTAACTGGAGAAGATATTCAGTCATATTTGTAAGTTGTAATTGTAATGATAAAAAAGTACAGGATAATACTTTAAAATAAGGACAAATGTAAAAAGAGGCACTTGTCTTCTAGGGGAGGAATTTCAAACTTAGGAGGAACAATTTTAGCCAAGGGAGGAATTGGTTAAGATTTTCAGTCTTATTTGTAAGTTATAATTAAGTACCATCCTGGGTATGATGATAAACTACATCCAGTTCCAGGGTAAGACAATAAACTACATCCAACAGCAAGGCCTCTGATCAAAAGGTTTTGAGGAGTGTGGAACCACTTCTGACCTGGGGTAGTAGCACCTGTTAGGGTCCCAGCTATGGGCAAATAGTTAACCCTGAAACATAGGTAAAAAGCATTATGAAAGTGTAAAAATAGCTTTTAATACCAGAAGTAAATTTTTGAAGAAAAAAAAGCTATTACCAGCAACATATTTTAGAAAAAACAAATTACCAGTAATACGTTTTTGAAAAAGAAACAAATAAAAACATTACCTGAAATAGATTTTTGACAAAACAAAATATTACCAGTAAAAAAAAAATTGTCGGCATTAAATAACCCATTGAGGTTGATATGCCGTAAAACAAAACAAACCATATCTAACATAATTAAGTAAAAATTTACAAGATGAAACTTCAGAATAAGGGAGGAATATGATATAGAATTCCAAGAACCACTGACCAGGCACATTGTCATATCATAAGGAAAGTAAGATTATGTTACACCAAAGGACTGCTCTGAGAATCAGCATTCAAAAATCTTGGCTTTGAATTAGCTGGATCTAAACACTGACAACTGGTATCTGTGGGGAATACATAATAATTAAACACAAGATTTGTCCGTGAGTTTGGCCTACAGTATTGTTATTTAGACATTACTTGCATAGATTTGTAACAGTCAATGACTGTTCCAGTCAACATTGAGTAATGATAAACAAAGGGGCTGATATTTTCTCAAGTGAGTTACATCAGCTCAGCTGATTATGGTTTGATTATTTTAAGGACCATTTTAAGTGTTTGTTGACAATGGGTAAGTAGTCACCAAAAGACATGCGCAGATAAATAAAAAAGATAAATAAATATGCAAAGTGAGTGAAGTGTGGGTGGATAGAAGCGACTTGACAGAAAAAGGTATGCGAGTAGAAAAGCTATTTCTGCTTTTCAGACTAACGGAAATGACAAAGTATATGATTAAACATCAGTGATGAGCACACACTGACCAATGGTCAAGAATAAACAAAGACTGCTCAAGTCAAGGCCATGTGTATGCAAGTGGCAGTAGAGAGATGTGATTGGTTTCCACTCCACAGCCACCCCTATACTATCTTGAAAAAAAAAAAAAAAGAAATATGAATTGTTGAAGTGAGAAGGTTTAGGTAGTTGCGGAGGTGGTCGTTTTTGGGTGGAGATGTTTGTCCAGTTTGTTTAGTTAGACAATCCTTAGCTTCCTTCCGCAGACAAACAATCAGCTCCCCTGAAGTTGTCACCACTAAGAATGGTCAGTCCCGTGGGGTCCCTAATTTCCCGATGGAGGAAGTGGTCATTGTTCACAGGACAGCTGGTCAAATGAAAGAGCATGCACGGCCCTAATAAGTCTGAAGTGTCATTGGTTAGTTGGTAGGGACAGGAAGGGCGGCCATGTAATAATAGGGAGTGGGAGGGAAAGAGTTGACATGGTAGTGAGAGTAGCAGTAGTAATCGTATTGGTGATTATGATGATAGTTGTGGTGGCAGTGGTGGTGGTGGTGGTGGTGGCAGTGATCACTATTTACACAGTGTGTTTGGTCGGAGGCCGTAGCTTTCATCAGGGTCATCTAAGTCAATGTGTGAAAGAATACTGAGGTTGCACAGATCAGTTTCAATGTATTGATCCCTTTTGATTAAATTCAGAGCATGCTTTGACGGGAGCAAAGGTGCCGTAGCCGCATCATTATAGTTGCTATGGCAGAGATGGGTGTGTAGGGTGGAGAACAGAGAGAGAAAGAGAGGGTGTTGATAAGGACAGGGAGTAGAAGAATTTCCTTCATTCTTTTTACCTAGCCATCTCACCCACTGTCTAGCACCCAGACACTTTTTTTTCCCCCTCTTTCACTGCCCGAGGCAATTTCGCCTTCATCAATTTTACTCCACACCACTGGACAGTCGACTGGCCATTTGGCTGCCCACTGCAGACATAGGCACAGCCACTGCAGTGCCATACTTTGCCTGCCGACACTCTGGCTTTGTGCGTTGATATGCAGCCTGGGAGTGAACAAGGGAGTGACCACTGCATTTGTGCTTTTCTTAATCAGAGATCACTCTAGTGGAAGCCTCTTCACTTCCAAGACTCCATTGTTCTTGTTTTTCTGAGACATAAGACACACAGACAGCAGAAATGTTAGGAGGATGGTATAGGACCATGTGGTGATGTGGGGTAGTGAGGGTGATGTATGGGACTGGGTGTCAACTGATTCTGAATATTAAGTGTCAAACACAGTGGGAGGAAATATAGTTGGCCCAGAAAAATTATTTAATCTGGAAGTTTTGATATCCAAACACTGCTGTTGTTTTAATATATTTGCACCAGTATTTAACCCCAAATGCAATGGTATGTTGTTACTGCCTGCACCCCCCCCTCCATTATCCTAATGTCTCTTCATGAACAGAATCAGTGAATGATTTGATCTTTACCTTAATAATAAAACTGGGAGCAGATTATAGGCATTTTGTTAAAGCGGGCATGACTTGCTGAAAATGTTCTTTGACAAGCTATCTATCTCAGTTTGTTCGTATCTTTCTATCTATCTATCTATCTATCTATCTCAGTTTGTTTATATGAATCTAAGTCTGTTCATATCTATCAATCTCAGTCTTTTTATATTTATCTTTCTTTGTCTATCTATCTATCTATCTACTGTATGTCAGATTTTATTCTTCATGTCAATGTTTTCAGAATAAAATTGGTATTCACCAAACAATATTGATAACATTTTCATGATATAATTATATTTATATCAGCAATATATCGTATGAGTGTCAGTTTATAATATCTATACTTATTAAAAAAGGCGTTAAAGTTTATCATGCAGACAAAGATAAATAAACCTCATAGAATAAGATATTTTGTTTTAAAACAATATTCAATATACCTGAATAAATTATTTACATATTATTATCGGCTGCTTGACATTCTATAACTTTCATTAAATTTTCTTTCATGGATTTTGTTAATCTTTCTACTTTTTCAACTTTAACATTTCTTTCAAGTTTTTTTTTATTTCTTCTCAGATAGTTTCTTTGCTTGGATATTATTCTCAATTCTCATATACCACAAGCCTTCTATTGGAGAGGCTGAGGACTGTCCCATTAATTGGGTCTCTTTGAAATCTATTTTGGCAAGGAGGACAATAATCAGTTTTGCAGTATATGGAAGAGCATTGTCCTGCATGAATGTAGTCTAGATTTTTGGTTGTGATCTATATTGCTAGAAAAAATGGTTTTCTCACAGAATTTAGACTAATTCTTTATTTTTATCTTGTCATTATCATAATATTTGAAGGGACCTATAATTTTACGAGCCCAACAGATGATTCCATTTCTTTTTTACTCTTTCCTAAGTTGTGTTGGTTGAGCATTTCCATGATGATCCTAAACTCTATTTATCAGGTCTATCCATTGTAGCTCTACATGTATCACTAAAAATTGTTGCTGAGATCAGTTTTCATGCACTACTTTAGTTAATCTCTACATTTCTCTTTGTAAAAGGTTATACTTTGGTTGCTTTCTTGTTTTTAGTCAACTTTCTTCAGATTCTGCATTTTTACTCTCTGTTTACATTTGCAATACCAGCTTTTTCACATATTTTCTTGATGGTTGAACCAATTTTCTTGCATATCACCATTTCATTTAAATATTTTTTTCAAAGATCCTCTTATGGCATCATTAAAAACGGTTTTTTTTCTTTTTCTTGTCATTGTTTTCATTTTTTTAAATAATTAAAATCTTCTACTTAGTGTTCCAAGAAACAGAACTCAAAATAAGCCTTTCCAAAACAGAAACTATGATCTGAAATTGGAATGAAAGCAGTGGCAAGTACACTGCATTTATAAGTCATAAAACAATGTTTAAATGTTGCAGTAAAAAAACAACAACAGAAGCAAAGATAAGTTTGTCAGAAATTAATAATAGGAAATTGAAATTCTCTATTTTTTTCTTTTTATATTATTTAAATCTGATACACCTTAAAAAGCAATGCCTTTCATAATTTTCAATATTTCTCCTATGAAAATTTGATAGATAACTTTTAGTTCAATCATAGTATCAATAAATTCTCATGAATAACAAAGTCTTTATGAAAATCAAAGAACTGACTTGAGATCCTAATGTTTGTTTTACAAACCCAAATTTTCTTGATTTATCACCATTCTGTCTGAATTTCAGGAATGAGGAGTTATCATAAAAATTCAGGATGCAGAATTGCATCCATCATAAAAATTCAGGATGTAGAATTGGTAAATACTAAACACTTCAAATACCTTGGTGGATTATAACAAACATAATATAAGAGAAAGGAAATTCTTAAATATCCTCATCATATCAAGAATTTCATATGGATATCATGCATGGCAACAAACCTGTTCAGAAATATCTAAACTGTCAGTTGTATGCAACAGCTTTCTCAGATCCAAAGTGAGAAAATGAAGCCTGTAGGTCTTAACAACTATTGGACAATCACTACAGAATCATAAACAAAGAACTGTACCAAATAACAGAAACCACATCACTTGAAGACTTTCAACAGCAGAAACAACTAAAATGGATTGGACATATAGCTCAAAGAGAAAATAATGACATATCAAGTTGGTGATGTTCCACACTACTTCAAACAAAAGGTTAGAAAGAAGACTCCCATCAGTACTAGAAAGTGTAAAATGGTTACTGAACTTAAGAAACTTATTTTCTTGAAAAAATTATTTTAAGAGAAAGATTTTATAAATTTCAACTGAAAGTAGTACTAGTTGCTTGGTCAATGAATGCTCAATGTTTCCTTATAAGGAAATGGCAAATATTCCCTTTATCATTTTCTTCATCTTTTTATTGCTTTTTATAACAGCATTCTCTGCTGGTCCACACTTTGACTATTGAAGCAAACAACATTATTCTTTATTCCTAGTTCACAATGTTTACAATCAAAGAATGCATTGATCTCAAAGTTTATGGTAAAAATGACATCAAGAATTTTAGAGCATTAATTAAAAATTAATAAGTATTTGATAGATTACAATAATTTGTATACAGAGAGATCAAACATAATTGACTGAGGCAAGGAGAGATAAAAAGAAGTATAAATATTTAAAGTATTTGACATTGGTGTATATATTTAAAGTTTATTTTGGGTTTGAAATATTTTGGCATATACATTGTCTCACTTTGTAATATTTTGCACTTAACTCTTTAGTCATCAATTGATGGAAAGAAGAGAAAGTAAAGATCAGACAAAAACAAAATAAAAGTGGAATTTCTGCAATTAATCTATAGTCATTACTTGTGCAGCATTTCTTTTGAATGTCTTTTTTGAAATCTTCAATCTTTTGATCCATTTGAAGAGATAGTTTACAAAATAGTCTTGAAGGACAAATCCAAAGATTCTGGTGGAATTGTTGAAGATGGGTGTATTATTAAACTTTAAGTTCTACTTTTATACTTTAAATAACTTATTCTGATCCAATTTAGCATCCCTAAGTTATCAGCCTTGAATAGGTCAAGTGTACAAAAGTAGTTCCAGTATATTTGTTTCTTTTGAGTAGTGATTGGTATTTGAAATGTTTTTGAGAAGCAACATGGTTGGTACTTGAATTTAGAAGGTCATCATGATGTCTATCCTGGAGAAAGAAGATGAAAAAGAAAGTAAAGAGAAAAAGAAGGAAGAGTACATCTCATAATCATCATCTGAATGTCAGAATCTTTTGACAACATTTTTTTTTTGTTTTTTTTGGAATCAGCAGATCTTGTTTTTGTTTCATGACAATTCATTCTGGTCGAGTCATTTGAGACAACCCTTTTTTCTTCCATGTTTTATGTCCAAGTACAGTCCTTTTATCTGCCAATTATGCACATTCACCTACCATTCAATATATAATAAAAAAAAATACCTGCTACTCACAGATCTATTAATGATTATATTAGAATATAGAAAAATGGGACTGATCAATTATAGTAATTATTATAGTTACAGCTTATTTTTTGCTGACTTCAGGCAATATGAATAAATGTGAGAATGAAGCAGAGAAACAAATTCATTTTGATAATATTTCTTTACAAAATAGTTATATGTAAATTAGTAAGTAATAAATAATTTATTTTGATTATTATCTACAAAATGTAGTTGCATTTAGTCATTTCTTAAAAAGTACACACATGCACACACACACACACACACACACACACATATATATATATATATATATATATATATATATATATATATATATATATATATACAAACAATAGATTTATTTTGTCATTCATTCTTTGATTAGTTCTGGATTACTGTTTTTCTACTTTATTTTCAATGCATTTCTATAGTAAAACCATAAGCAATTCATTTCTATTATAGATGTAGTAGCCCTATTCTCTTAGTAACATTAGTTCCTGACTACTGAGAGTCCTCTTCTTCCTGACTTTCAATTATGTAAGGTCAATTGCCATAAACATTTGGATTTTAATGCATTTCTCTTTTTCTCATTTTTTTTATGTCTACCAATGAAAGAATGACTTTTTCTTCATACTTTCTGATATAATAGTCTTCAGTTCAAATCTCATCAACCATTACTGTTTTCTTTGCAATCCAAGATTGCAATATTTCTCCTATGAAAATTTGATAGATAACTTTTAGTTCAATCATAGTATCAATAAATTCTCATGAATAACAAAGTCTTTATGAAAATCAAAGAACTGACTTGAGATCCTAATGTTTGTTTTACAAACCCAAATTTTCTTGATTTATCACCATTCTGTCTGAATTTCAGGGATGAGGAGTTATCATTATCTATGAGATTTATATCTGGTTTAATGTCCTCATCCCTAGGTTTGTTAACGCAATGTTTTGGCTCTTATGCACTCCTAGCATGTGTGAAAATAACCTCCAGGATTTAAGCAGTGGTTCATCAATTTGGTGTCATAGTAATTATGTGTTCAATACCTGGGTTGGGTAGTCAAGAATCAGATTTAGTAGAAACAGTTCAACCAACAACCTAGTAATACTAAAAAGAGAACAAGATGTAATATCCCAACATAGAATGTAAATAGTTTACTCTTGTAAATTAAATAGAGAATTCAGTTAGAAATTCTCTAAAGGGTTACCCAGATTGACAGCCAACTGAAGAAGGCTGGAGGAAACAACAGATGAAACATTGTGACAATTACAACAGAGATGAGGACATTAGTATGAATATAAATGATGTAAATAACTAATGTTTCACAACAGGTTGAACTAATTCAAGGTCAGTTGTAACGCACTTGAGTTTTGATGAACTGCACTTTTCTTGGTCTCTTGGCAGGATGTCAAACAAAAAATTATAATAATTAAAAAAATTCTTAATAAACTAAATTACAAAATTAGAAGCAATATTACACTTAATGTTTTTGCTCTATGGGAAGAAATGCATTCAACCAGATGCACATATATGTGTGATACAATAGACCAAATTTAGGATAGCTATGAGAGGTTTTAACAAGGATTGACTGTACAGTGATGTTGATATAGTTTAGTTTTTACTTTTACTTATATACATATCATTATCTTCTCTTTTTTAATTCTTACACTTTTATTGTCCTCTCTCCTTAATTGTAGTTTTTCTCATATTATCTAACACTCATTAATGTCTTGCTTCTTAGTGGCTTCATTGCTTTGCTTGGGGTGTAATGACTGAAAAAAACAAAAAATACATTATTCTTCTTTTATGTGCCATATCTGTTAGTTTCCAATCTGGTGGAATGAAAATTACTACAAAAGACTTTCCTTAGTCAATAAAATAGGTTGATTTACAACTTGACTCAGTCCAGATCTACCTTGTCTATATGGAAGATTATTGGGTTCACTTGTCTGGCCTAGCTTTTCTGTGTAGATGCTAATTTGTGGTTCGTAAACTTTTTTTGCTTTCTTACCTGTGAATTTATTTTACTTATATTGTTTGCTTGCTTGCCTGATACCATTTAATTTTTGTCCCCTTTTTCGTTCTATTACAAATATCATTAATTCTGTTCATTGGACAGTTATGCTATTTATTTTGTGTTTAGACCATGACTTCTATCTTAACATATTATGGGCCCAGGAATAGACTCTGTTTGAAATATACATCTTGTTTCGTGAACAATTATTCTGGTGTAATTATGGATTATATACTGAAACAAAAATGTGATACAATTCTCATCATAAAGAAATCTTTTTGTTGACATTGCTCTCTATGTTTATATAAACACCTAGGAAGTGATGACAGCAACTATTTATGAAAAGGAAAGCAAAAAACTAATTTCACTATATACGAAATCAGCACCAAGCTCATTTTGTAAAAATGTGAAACATATTTGAGATAATGAACATTTATTTATGTTTTCAGCTGAACTAGATACCATTGCCAACACAAATGGCTTACTTGTCATATTTTCTTATTTTTGATAAGGATTTTTAATCCAGAAAATCATCATATCAAACTGGCAGAGGGTAGTCAAACCAGTAAAATTTGTTTAAAAAGAGGCAATGCTCAAATCACTATAACCGATATGGATGGAAATATGCGTGACTGCATTTTAATGAAATTAATATCCATATGAAAAGGCAATATTGAAACTATTAAGAATTGTATTATTTGAGATGAAAAAATCGGCCACTTTATTAAAGATTTCTGAGGAAATTATTGGCAAGTGATTTAATAATTGCTTTAGTTCTAAAGGGCTTGCTTTTTGACCTCAAGCCATTTACAGTTATTATTACTCAGAAAGACAAGCTACTAACATTTACTAAATTCAGAGTAGCATTGTGAGGCTTCAAGGGTGTGGTGGGGGAATGGTTCATGGAGATATCAATGAAGATACTGTAATGTTGAAGCTACCAAAGTTTCTGTGGTCATATGCTTTCATGACTACTGCATATATATATTAGAAATCAGTGTTATAGTTAAAGAATAAAAACTGTCTTAGAACTGTTCATGGGTTGCAAATCTAACTTTGCTAATATGCATACTTTTTATGTGAGCACACTTTGTTATGCCTAAATACTAGATGGAAAGAAACTGGGTACCAAGAGTGAAAAAAATAATTTTCATAGGCTACTAGAAATCAAGTCCTCTTTATTTAAGTTTACTGAAAACCTTGAAAATCCTACATCTGAAGATTCGTTATTTCTGGTTGAAGAAAATGCAATACTTCCCATCTATCTGCTGAAAAATCCTTGTGAAGAGGAGAAACAAGAAAATCAAAATGCCACAATATTCCATTAATCCAACCATGGATCACTTGAAAAGGGCCAGAAAAATCTACTGCTATTTGAAAGGAACAAAAACACATTGTTTAGTTTTTAATAAATCAAATAAACCCCTAAATTTAAGAGGTTTTTGTCATGCAGATTGGGGAAATTCAAAAGATAGCATTACAGGATAAAAGATATGGGAGAAAAGATATCCAAACAGGTTACAAAAAATGCCTGATTATTTAAAGGATTGCATTAAGAATTTAAATGCCACATTAAATTGAACTATACATTATTATCATTTGGTAAATAAGATACACTAATTGTAATGAAGTTATTCAACATAATTTATTTTCCCACCAAATGGATGTGAAAATGGGATATTTCAAATGCACTGAGCAACTGTGGATTATAATTCATTGCCAACTATCCTGGTGCTGATGATAAACTACATACGGCAACAAGGCCCTCTGATTGGAAGATTGAAGGTTTTAAAGAGCATGTAACCACTTCTTAATTGCTGTTGTTCCCAGGTCCATTCTGACTTGGGTGGTAACACCTGTTAGGGTCCCAGCTAGGGGTAAAATAGTTAATTCCCAAACTATGGATAAGGACACTATTAGCCATTTGGAAAGAGGAAAATGAAGGGAAGGTAAATATGAGTGCATTCATCCATTAGATTGAGGTATAGGGTGTTGGTTTCCAAT